AACACCGAGGTAGCTCGACTTGATCGAGATAGATCTCAAGACAAATATGATGTAAGTCAAGTGAAGTTGAGCCGAGCTAAGCTTTAGGTACCCAATAGGATGAATTTTCAGTACTTAATTTGCCGTTTGTTTTGCGCATTGAAATTACGTCGCTTTCCGAAATATTACAAAATAAATAATGAAGCTACTGGATAAACTTTATAGTTGCAAAGAAACAAAGTTGGTGGGTTGTAGGACAATCGGATGGATATTACCATACATATCGTAGTGACTCATATTTAAAGTTTAGCAAATGCTTTCTTATCTGTAGACAGAAAAACCACTATCCCAGCAATTTTAGTGAAATACCTGCGATTAGGCTCAGTTATTGGTGCATACAAGACAAATTACAACATATTAGAACATTTTAAATAACGTACCGATTCAAAGCGTTTGCAAAACTTCCATCTCGATGATCCATTGCTAAGAGAGCTTCCAACGAAGATTTGCGAGAAGAATCACCGTCGGGAATTTCCACATAATTGGAGGACCATTTGTGCTCCGCTATACCTGATGAGGGTTCCAGTGTTCCGCAAGATCCAATTGGTTTGGCGGAGTCCTTGCACTGTCGTTCTGGGCCTACGGCTCGGGGAACGTGACTACTATTTCTTCTGGGTCTGAAATCAAAACGTTTCGATTGTTCAATTGTTCGTTCTCGAAGTTGAGCACTGACGGAAAGCAAGGGCAAACTGTCGAAGAGACGATCGGCTAATATTTTGTGTTTAGTTCGTGCCTCATGAGCTCGGGTTGTATCCTTGGACTTCGGGTCTGTCGCGGTTGTTTCTTTCGAGGGGTTGCGTTCGCTATAGCTCAAACCGTCCAGTATCAGAAGTCGGGCAAATCGAGCGAGTCGGAGTACCAGGCGGGCACTGAGTTGTTCCGGGTGCAGTGCTGTGACCTAATAGTGAAGTAATTTAAGGAGTGTAACAGATGCTTTACGTTCAGGGTCACTAGATGTTAGTGATACATTCGGGGTTTGATACAACGGCTGCAGATATTTAATGCTTGGCAAGGTGATGGAATTGATTGTCGAAAAACTATTAAAAGTATCGAATAACATTTACTTGAAAATCAAATCCTTTTATAATGCGCATTTATTTATCACCCCTCAAAAATATTGAAAATTTAGGCTTGACTGAATTCACTGAGATGTAAATAATTGAACCATGTGGTTTGATAAAATAGAAACTGGAAGTCGATTGATCCAGATCGAGCAGACTGA